AACTGTGGGTTGATCAGTTTCACAGCTCTGATAAATACCAGAAATAAAAAATCTCTTTAACATCATGAAGTGGAATAAAGCAACATTTATGCCTTAAGTCTGATGAACGCTTGAATCATCCATTTTTTTGTTTTCATTGTGAAACATTTTAGTAGTATGGGGGGAATTTTGTTCCATTATTTTTCAGATGTTTCCATTTTTTCCATCATGTTCTTTACTTGCAACAATAATGGAAGAAAACTCACTCCGTATCCTTAATGAATCTGTAGGAGCAGAAAAAGATGTCCACTGAATGTGTGAAGGAGCTGCTGTCAGGCTTTAAGCCTTTCAGGCACGGAGGCGGTACCATCATGCTGTGGGGTTTTTGTTGTAACTGGCGTATCTCTGCATACGTAACACGAATGCTGGATGTTTGCTTTCCTAACAGCTGAGAGCTCGGTCTATATTTCCCCCCCAGATGTTCTCCAGATGCTGATGAGGGTCCATCAATCGATCACTGAGGCAGCTGTGGCTCCAGCGCTAACCTTCCCAGCGCTAACCTTCCCAGCGCTAACCTTCCCAGCGCTAACCTAGCTGCTGGGAAGGTTAGCGCTGAAGCAAACTGCTAACATTAAACTGGCCTCATGTAAAAATCTATTGATGGTTAATATTTCCCAGAACTCTTATCAGATCAGAATCCAGGTCTAATTGTCTGTTGTTGGGCGTATTTGTTGTTGTTTACCTTTTTCAGCATCGCCCGTCATCCCCAGTACGTTCCCAGTCTAATCCCAGTAAAGATGCAGCAAAGGAGAGGTCTGCAGCCGTCGGCCTCTCTCGCGGCTCCAACCTACGGCGGGCCGACAGCGTCCAAAGCCTGATCAGCAGGTTCTCCGGTCCGACGCCGTACTCGCTGTCCTCCTCCACTCTGAGCCTTTACTCTGGACCCAGACGGGTCATAAGGTCAGTTTCCATGGAAGCGCTGCACACTCCCAAGCCTAAGCTGAGTCTCTTCACGCCGAGCTCCAGCCGGCGTGTCGTGAGCGACAGCGCGCCGCCATCCAGGGAAGACGAGCAGAAGGCGGTTAAACCGTCCAAGATAACGGCGAGGATCGACTGTCCAGTAGAGGGCAGCGCCCAGAAGACGGCGAACAAAGCAGCGACTCTGGCAGAGTCCGGCAGAGATTCGATGGCCGACTCTGGCATGGGATCGGTAAGAGACGAGGGATCCAATCGGATCCGCTCCGATGATCCGCTTCCAATCAAGGAATCCAGACGCCCTTTCTGGCTGATGATGTCACGGCGGCGGGGCAGGCAGCTTCATCAAACTCTGATTTGCAAAATCTAAATGTGACTCTGACCCCGTCGAAGCGCTCCGATCATTCTGCTCCAAACCTCTGATCTGATTTTCCCGCCAACAATCATCGCCTCTGAAACCGTTTCACTTTCTCTTCCTGCTTCCATCAAACATTCTGACGTTTTTTATTGGATTAAATGTTTCAGACGGATCAAAGCTTTTAGAAAATCATCCCTGAATCCCTTTGAAAGTCTCACAGAACCTTCATCTGAAAATAGAAAACTGCTCAAACTGCTAACCCTGCAGGATGTGGAGGAGCTGCAGGGAGCCAGAGCTCGGCTGGATCTCTGCAGCTCCTCCTGAGAATCTCTTTGGTTCAAATCTTCATGTTTGCTTCAACTTTCTAAATCTTCTTCTGATCGATTCCTTTAAATTATCTAATATCTGATAAAACGCCTTTATTCCTCCAAACCTTCGCCGTATTTCTCCGCCTCCCTCTGAATCCTCTCTTCTTCCTCCAGGAGTCAGAATTCGATTCAAACAAGCAGCCCGACAGCCCGTCAGAGGAGGAGCCCTCCACCCCCAGAGCCACCGTCCCCCCCAACCCAAAGTATGAGCTGCTGATGAACCACGAGCTGAAAACCAACGGCCTGAGCAGCAGGGAGGCCAACGGTCCAGGAGGCGGCGGCTCGGCCGGGGAGAGCAGCCCCAGGCTGTCCAGATGGGAGGCCGGCCGGCTGGGGACCAACAGCTTCCGGGGGTCCCTGGAGTCCCTGGCCTCGCGGGACTGGGACGCAGGTTCAGACAGGGTGAGCGAGGAAGACCACTGTCCCCGTGTGCTTGCTGAGCTCCGGCTGATTAAAGACCAGCAGATGCTGGGTGGTCATTGCAGCGGCTGGTGAACGGCGCCATCTGCTGGGAGAAAAACGCTCTGCTCCTCCGTTTAAAGATAGAACTTAAATCCTTTGGTTCCTAAAATAGTAAATATTTAACTTTAAAATGAACAAACAGGAGCCCGAATTATTCAGACTGAGATTTAAGAGAAAAGAGAAAATAAACTTCAGACAAACAGAATGAATTGATCTCGAAATGAAGGATTATTGAAGGAATAAAAATGAATTTTTATTTTATTTATGATTTTATTACTAGTAGGAAATTTGATTTATTAGTAAAAGACAAGATGTTTGTGTCAGTAGCGGATTAAACCATTTAAATCACAATAAAGAACTCAAAATAAACTAATTCAAAACAGTTAGAAAATGTTTCTAAGGATACCTCAATGTTTACATTTTAGTTGAATCAATAATTTTGCAAAAAAGTATTTTTCAAATTAGTTTTTTAGAAAAACAATTAGTTTGTTAAATAAATATCTAGCTCCAAATTAAATATTTATTTAACAAACTAAATACTTAGCTAGCACTAAGCTAGCTAAGTATTTATTTTGGAGCTAAATATTTATTAAAAAAAAACTAAATATTTAATTTGCAAACTAAATATTTAGCTAGCACTATGCTAGCTAAATATTTATTTTGGAGATAAAAATTTAGTTTGCAAATTAAATATTTAGTTTTTTTTAAATAAATAATTAGCTAGCACTAAGCTAGTGAAATATTTCTTTTGGAGCTAAATGTTTATTTAAAAAAACTAAATATTTAATTTGCAAACTAAATATTTAGTTTACAAATTAAATATTTAGTTTTTTTAAATAAATATTTAGCTAGCACTAAGCTAGCAAAATATTTATTTTGGAGCTAAATATTTATTTAAAAAAATTAAATATTTGCAAATTAAATATTTTGTTTTTTTAAATAAATAATTAGCTAGCACTAAATTAGCAAAATATTTATTTTGGAGCTAAATATTTATTTAAAAAACTAAATATTTAATTTGCGAACTAAATATTTAGTTTGCAAATTAAATATTTAGTTTTTTTTAAATAAATATTTAGCTCCAAAATAAGTATTTTGCTAGCTTAGTGCTAGGTAAATATTTATTTAAAAAAACTAAAAATTTAATTTGTAAACTAAATATTTAGCTAGCATAGTGCTAGCTAAATATTTAGTTTGCAAATTTCATATTTAATTTTTTTTAAATAAATATTTAGCTCCAAAATAAGTATTTTGCTAGCTTAGTGCTAGGTAAATATTTATTTAAAAAAACTAAATATTTAATTTGTAAACTAAATATTTAGCTCCAAAATAAATATTTAGCTAGCATAGTGCTAGCTAAATATTTAGTTTACAAATTAAATTTTTAGTTTTTTTAAATAAATATTTAGCTCCAAACTAAATATTTAATTTGCAAACTAAATATTTAGCCCTAAATTAAATATTTATTTAACAAAGTAAAATTTGTATAAATGAATAAATGAATAAAAAAATTAAATTGGAAGGAAAATAAGCCCCTTATTTTAAAACACGCTAATTAACCTTAAAGATTGCTCCTAATTTTTTACAAACGGCGCCCCGTAGAGTTCAGGTCTAAATGTAATAAAAATGTTTTCTATGTTTAACATTTCTATAACTAAGCTTCAGAGTTTGGGCAGCTCCTGACGGGCCTGGTACCTCCTCAGGTTCCGACCCGTTTGTTACCGAAGCTTCAGGCAGGATGACCATAATGTCATTTTTCCTTTTCCAGTTAATGAACAGCGCCGCCTGCTGGAAGAAACACAGACTGAAGGTTTTTCTTTGTCCGCCGGCTGTCTCACCGTTTCCAATCAGAGCACAGCGCCTCGCTTCAATCCATCCTTTAATTGATTAATCATGTCTGATTCAGCTGATGGAGCTCATGGCCGCCGTGCTGCTTGATCCCAGATCCACGCCAAACCTCACGGTTATTGCTCTGTTTCAGGTGGGCGCCATCGACAGCCCCCCCAGGGTGTTCAACAGTCCCTACTCCAACACCCTCTCCATGGATTTTCACCCCCCGTTCCGGGCGTCTGAGTTCAAGGTTAGCAGCTCTTCCTGTTTCCCTATAAGAATGTGGCGTTTTTGGACGGATGCTGATGGATGCTTTCCTCCGGCGGCAGGGCGGACTCTCTCCTGCCACCTCAGAGCACAACCTCTACAGCTTCAACAGTCGCAGCACCAGTCCCATCGGCATCTCCGGCTCCATGACGACCGCCTCCAGGACCCGATTCTCCACCTACGACACACTGAGGAGGAGGCCTGACATGAACCCCGCCCTCACACATAAAGTACGGTTCTCTAAGCCACGCCCCTTACTTCAGATCCTTTACTTTATCAAACCCAAAACCAGGCCTTAGAACGAGCAGGTGGAAGGTTCTGCTGCAGGTTGAAGGTTCTGCTGCAGGTAGAAGGTTCTGCTGCAGGTTGAAGGTTCTGCTGCAGGTGGAAGGTTCTGCTGCAGGTAGAAGGTTCTGCTGCAGGTCGAAGGTTCTGCTGCAGGTTGAAGGTTCTGCTGCAGGTCGAAGGTTCTGCTGCAGGTCGAAGGTTCTGCTGCAGGTAGAAGGTTCTGGTCTGGCCCCATTCAGGTCTGATGGTGCAGCATCTTCTAAGTGTTTGTTCTCCACCTGCAGGTGGCGCCGGTTCACTACAGCATGCGTTCCTCCACGCTGGGAGCTCCAAACAGGAAGGACTTCATAGAAGAACTGACCAAGCAGCTGGACGCCTGTCAGAAGGTAAACCCACTCCTCTGGAAACACAGAAAATAAATTTCCCTTAGAGGCAGATTTCCAGCTTTATATCCGTTTTTGCACGGAAGGCGGTCCTAACCTCAGACGCTGGCAGCTCAGCCATGCTAATGATAAAGGAAAGTTAAGTGGAAGGAGAAAAAAACAGTTTAGATGCAGAAGCATGAATATCACTTTGTGAGTCATGGATTTAATGAAAGTTTAATCCTGAAAGTGTTTTTGATTTTATTTTAGTTCAGCAGATTTTTAGAGACGTCCCCATCAGATAAAGATGAATCAGTTCTAATAAAATTCAAATCCTTTCAATAAACAGGCTGATAAAAAACAGTTTCTGTTTAAAGTTTAACGAGTTAGTTGGCAACCAGCTGGTTTAAACTTTGCCGACATTACAAACTATAAAAGGAGAAATAAAGAATCAATCAGTGTGATCTCGTATCAGATGAATATTACATCGATAGAAGTTATCGCCTCATTAATTAAAGCTGATTTATCTCATTGATCAAATGAGAAAAACGCAGTTTTCTTTCCAATCTAGAGAATTTTTCTATGACAGGTAGAGGAATGTTAGAACTAGCATGCTAACTGCTAGCATATCTTCTTCTATCCTGTTCCATCGGTTCCACTTTTCTATCATGGCCTCCTTCCGCTGCTCCTCCATCAGCGCCGCTAAATGGAGCCGTTTAGGAGAACCGGAGGAGTTTAGATTCACTAACAGGAAGTTCATCCTGGATCCTGGGATCCATTAAACACAGGAAATAATCTGGAGTGGAGTTCTGTCAGACCAGCATACCCCATCAGACCAGCATACCCCATCAGACCAGCATACCCCATCAGACCAGCATACCCCATCAGACCAGCATACCCATAGTCAACATGCGTGTGCAAAACGTCAGATTT